CATCCTTCTACTCTGCCTTCACAGAGCTTGGGATTAGAGTTGTGTACTGCCCTGCCTGGCTTGAGTATCGAGTTTTAATTTAAGATGAATCAATAGGTTTGGAAATGGATAGTAACAATGCATCATGTGAATGTACTTAAAACTAAACTCTACACTTTAAAATGTTTTAAATGGATCCAGGCACCAGTGGTTCACACCTGTAATCCTAGCCACTCAGGAGGCTGAGATCTGAGGATTGCAGTTCAAAGCCAGTCCAGACAGAAAAGTCTGTGAGACCCATCTCCAGAAAATTGGAAGTAGCACTGTGACTCAAGTGGTAGAGCACTTGCCTTGAGCTGAAGAGCTGAGGAACAGTGCCCAGGCCCAGAGTTCAAGCCCCATGACTGACAAAAAAAAAGTATTTAAAATAGAAAGTTTAGGAAAGATGACTTTTGGAAGAGATGGAAGAGAATGTTGAAAGGGGTGACACTGATCAAGATGCATTGTACTCACAAACTGGTATGTTGAACCAAAACCCTTTTGTATGACTACATGAAGATAATAAAAATAAATAAATGTCACTTTTGAAAAAAGCAACAGAGAGATTCTGTATGCCTTTAATCCAGCCTCCTCAAAGTTAAGCTTTTATATAACCTTAGCACAATTATCAAAGCCAGGAAATAAACATTGTTACAATACTATTAAGTAACCTACAGACCTTATCAAACTGGCCAATTATTCCACTACCTTCCTTTTATCTGATCTAGGACCCAATCCAGCATATGTATTGTATGTATTTAATTGTCATGTCTTCTTAGGAGAAGACAAAGACAATTTCCTCAAATTTGGGGATGCTCTGCAGAACTTCCTGGTCTTTTATGAGCATGACTACTTTAAGAACATTGGTTAGCTATGGGTTTGTCTGGTGTTTCCACCTTGTTGAACACATATTACTTGTTTGGGGCAAGAAAATGACATAAGTGAAGTTGTGTTCTTTTCAGAGCATAATATGAAGCACATGGTTTTGAAACATCTCATCATGGATCAAGTTAATGTAGATCACTTGGTGGTCTCTGCCAGGGTCATCCTTGGGAAAGTAGAAATTGCCCTTTATTTCTTGTTATATTTCACCCATCAATTTTAGCATCCACTGAGATTCTTCCTAGCTACCATTATTACTGTGGGGTTTTCCAAATGATGATATTCAATTGCCATCATTATTTCCACTATTCAACTTCCACTATTACTTCCACTACTAGGAATCTATCTCATTGACTCTATTCAAATTTAACTTCTAATACTCAGAAAAAAAACCCTGCCAGAATAAGGGTAAAATATATTCCTCAAAGCCAACTGGCTCCTAACCCCAAGTTCTATCCTAGTGTCAGATAAATAGTGCCCCCTTCATAGAAAAGAAAACTCTCACTTGGTACCTTCTGACAGTAGTCAAAGGCATAAAGGCTTGAAGAACAAAAGATAATATTCCTATATTCGTTTCCATCCCTCTACTATTTTTAAAAAATCAAACCTTAACATTACCCTATGCATATAAATGAGGTTACATAGAAAAGGTATTGGAGAACCATTCAGCCTAGAAAATACACATTAAATATTTATGTTAAATTTGCCCTAGAGAATGTGGATATTAATGAGCAGGAACTAAATGACAAAAGCTGCAATGTTCTAAAGGACTTGCATTTAGACACCATCTCCTGGCAGAGTTGGCTGCGTCCTTTAAGTCCACATCTTAGATGCTGATTTGACCCCAGGCTTTCCCCATGTACCAAGGATATCCCAGGATAGCATCTCTCTGAGCTGCTTTGGTTTGATGACAAATTGACAATAGTTTCCAGTTGTTCTGAAAGCTGATAGAGTAAAACCTTTTTTTAAAAAAATCAGTTAGCTATTTGCTCCTTACTATCCATAGTTAAGTAAAATGAACCCAAAATTTAGTGGTAAAAAACAACTATCTTTTTTTATAATCTTAAATTTGGAGGTCAGAGATTCAGACTTATCACAGAGAAGATGACTAGTCAGTCATCCATAATGCATGCAGACTTCTGCAGAAGACTCGACAGCTAGAGGATGACAGAAATGGCTGGGAACTGGAGTTGTCCAAAAACTTTCTCATCTATGCATTAACAATCTGAACTAGGATGACCTGAGGGTTGGTTCAACCAGGACTGTCAACCAGGCATGAATTTATATCTCTTGATGTGATATGGTAGCTTGAGAGTAAATGGATTTATTCAGTGGTAAGTCAGTATCTTCAAAGCAAGTGCTCAGAGGACAAGATAGAAGTCACATGATCCTTCAAGACCCAGATCCACAAGTCATACAGCAAAACTTCCATATTTATTGATTGATCCTTTCTTTCTTTCTTCTTTCTTTTGTTCTTTCTTTCATTCAGTCATTTGTTTGTTTTTGTGAGACAGTCTTGCTATGTGGCCAAAGCTGAGATTGAACATGTGTATGTATGCATACACACACACACACACATACACACACACACACACATGCATATATGCTAGTATCAAACTACCAAGAGTATTATAGCTTTGTAGTAAGCTTTCACATCAAAAGAGTTTTTGAGTCTTCCAATTTCTTCTTTTTTCAAGATGATTTAAATTTTTCTGGGTTCTTTGTATTTCCATTTTAAGTTTAGGATCAACAAAACAACAGCTGAGATTTTAAAAAGAAATACTATCATGACCAAAAATTGAAGAATCTTAAATCAGCCCCACTTAATTTGAAAACCTGTATCTCCAAAACATTCACATCCATTCCCTTTTCTGTTAAGTATATACACACATCTAAAATTCAACAGCAAACACTTTGAGTAGGGAAACATTTTTTTGTTCAGGGACCCCTTTGAGAATCATCGAAAAACCACATTTCTTTCCAGAAAATGTATATATGCACATTATTTTCTCAGAATTTTCAAGTATTCAAATAAATTAGCTAGCCACGTTAAGAAATGCAAACTGCATCTCTTCATCAATATGAAAACATGTGGAGAAAAGCCAGAGAGCTGGAAACTTCAAGACTTCACCTCTGTACAAAGAGAAAGACAAGTCTGGAGATTTGCCCAAAGTCACTTTGTTAGGTGGTAACAGGCATGAGCTGTGTCCAATTGTCCCAAATTCCAGATCAAGATTCTTGTCTAAGTTACCTGGGATCATAGAACAGATGACACTCTTCTTTAGGTCCTCCAAGATTCTTAGAGTTCCTGAGCCAAAGAGAAGCTCTGAATCTTGCAATTTCTATCTGTTCTGATATTCATACCTGCTTCCAAGAATCTTTGTGGTAAGAAAATAAAGGGAAACCTGTCATCCAAAAGGCACATACCAAATTTAAATGATTCCACTCTCCCAAGCAGGCTAAAAGACACCAAGGACCCACAGAGAAAGCCTGAGACAAGTTAGATAATCCAGCTGCAAAGACAGAATTAGATCACAGCACAATCTGTCCCGACCCGCAGGACGTCAACGAGGGCAGTGAACCTAAGCGAGAAGGAATGAAGGGACAAGAGACGTGAAGAATGACAGCAAGACAGGGGTTCTGATCAAGCTGCAAATTTTTATTTTTCACACAGGGGTATTTATATGCTTGGAATAAGGAAGCGTTTTCATTGGCTGTCAAGGAAGCTTCTTCATTGGCCCTGGCAGCTGCAGGATGTTTGCTTAGGGCAGGGAGAAAGGGTGGTCGTTAGCAGCTTCAGGATGTTTGCTTAGGGCAGGATGAGGGTAGGATTCTGTAAACTCAGCCTCAAGATGTTCCAGTGAGATAAGCAAGCCTATTATGTTGAGAGACTCAACTTTTGGCTCCAACAACAATCAAGAAGCAACCAGGTACATAGAGTATAAATACTAGTACAAGAGAGGAGAATGGAGAAGTTGACATGGGTATGGCAATGGAGACAGAGCTCCATGGAAGTAAAGAAGGAATCAAAGAACATACAATCTAAAAAATGGAAGAAAAAATATAGAAGGTATTTGGAAAGATAAAATACAAAGGCATTTCCCAGGTAAGCAAAAGGAAGGGAAGAGACAAAATACAGATGTTAAGAAATAGAGGACCAAGCTCAACAGATTTGCCAATGGTTTTCTTTTTTTTCTTTTTTTTATTATAAAGTGATATACAGAGGGGCAATAAGTAAGGTAATGAGAACATTTGTTTTCGACCAATGTTACCCGATCCCTCATTTTCACCTGTTGTCTAGTGAGTATTGCTGTTGCATTAGTTCACTCTTTGTCTCACTGTTTCTGTGGTTCCCCATCCCTTCCCCAAATCAGATAAACTTATATACAAGACAAAGGGTACTGAAATCAAAGACTGTGACCACAGGGAATAAACTAGAGGGAAAAGAAATTCAAAAGAAGAAATAACTGTAAACACTACACTAAACAACAACAACAACAACAACCACAAACCTTCTGGTTTCCATATCTTGGAGTTCATTTCAATTAGCATCATTGTAAATGGTTATATGTACATAGCTATTGAGCTATTGTGATCTTCTGTTAAGAATAACCTAGATATATTCTAGCTGTTATGAGTGAGGGAAGCCATACAGCTTATGTTTCACTGGGTCTGGCTTACTTCACTTGACATAATTTTTTTCAAGTCTATCCATTTCTTTATGGATGGGGCAATGCCATTCTTTCTGATGGAAGCATAGAATTCCATTGTGTATATGTACCACATTGTCTTGATCCATTCATCTAACTGAGAGGCATCTGAGTTGGTTCTATATCTTAGCTATGATAAATAATACTGCAGTGGACATGGTTGTGCTGACAGCTTTAGTGTGGCCTTGTTTGTGGTCATTTGGGTAAATGCCCAGGAGTGGGATTGCTGGGTCATAGGAGAGCTCTATGTTTAGTCTTTTGAGGAATGCCTATAATTGCCAATGGCTTTCTCACATTGCATCTATAGGCCTTGAGTCCTGTGTGCAACCTCAGCTTAGATGTCCCTATCCTGGGACAATTGAGAAGCTAACTATTCTTTTGTCTGACTCTCCACAGCTCCCCTTTGTGGATGGCCTGTACCACTTTTATCACAATGGCCTTGCGAAGGCTAAAAGGAGACGCAGCCTACACCACAAGCAGCAGCTGGAGAGAGACCCTAGGGTGAGTTCTCCCCAGAAATTTACATGTCAGTCTCCGCTACCACAGCTGAGCTCATTTGGTCCACTGTATGCTGTGGGGAAAAGCAGGGGATTTTAAAGTCAAGGCATCTAATGTGTTATGATAGGCCAAAGGGATCTTTATGAAGAGTGGCACTGGTGATTTTCTACTCCTCTGTGTGTAATAATTAGTCCTAGACTCATAAAATATTACCCCTTCGCTGCTGTCTTCTTCTGAGTTATTGTGTGAGGCCTTTAGCTTGCTCAGGAACCTGTTCTAGCATATTATCAATAGGAGGACATCAAGAGTTAATGAGTCATTTTATGAAAGATTTCCTCTGGTCTGTCCACATGCTCTGAGGATGTTTCCATGTCATGAATGGGAAAATAAGTGGTTCAATCAGGGACTATCTCACAACAAGCAGTGGGCTTTTCACTTGCCAAGCCTGGCTGAAGCCAGGAGACCATCTCAGCCTTCTCGCCCTGTATTTTCTCATGTCACCAAACTTGCCTCCATGTTTTAACTATCTTTGTGATACTCATAACTTCTATGTTTTCCTCTCTAGTTGTTACCTCATTCTTAGGCTCTTAGTTTCATTTTCTACTTCCTCTGACAGTGTGAATTCAAGTTTCTCTCAGGCAAATGTATCCTCTTCCTGCTTTTCAGAATAAGAAAGCTGGTCATCCCCAAGCCCTCCATTTTCCAGTCTTCCACCTCCCTGTGTACCTGCATACTCATGCTATTGGATAGACTCTAGTTTCTTTCGTGAAACCCAAGGAAGACAAGCTGCTTTTTATGTATTGAAGGCAGGGTAATCTCTTCCCTGGGATTTAAAAAAGAGCTGGTGAAAAGTGGGTTGGATACTTGAGTTAGTGATTTGCATAAGTTCCCCTTTGAGTGAATGAATCTAAACATTCATTCTTTTGGAACTTTTTATGTGAATATTTGTATGGCTTTAATCAGAAATTAAAGGCTTCCCCCAAAATCACCAATTGCCATAGGCAATTTTCTTAACTCTTCTACCCAGATCTTCTCACATGTTCTGGAATGGGATACCTTATGCTCCACGGAGCCACTTAATCATTGCTTTAGAAGTAAGACTCAATAACCTGAGCTACCAGCCAATGTCAAGCATTTTAAGGTTCTCTTGTAGAAATCAGTGCCATTAACTTTGAGGTAACAGCCATGGCTGTACCAACTCATTGCTTGGTGATATCCTTTGGCAGTCATTAGACAGGCATCTTACTTGTCACATCTATGAATCTAAAGTGGACCCCACTAAGTAAAGAGCACTCTGGTGGTCACGATACTGTTGATCCTTACATTTTAACCTTACTCCCATGGCCTTGCCCTTTATGGCCAATTGTTTTCCTTTTATTTAGGCAATTTCTTAAAAGTCTTACTGATCTCTCTTCTTTTAATTAAATAATTTAATCATTTTTTTCAAACATAGTTTTTCATCTGTTTGTGGTTTTAGAGTAGAGTTTCCAAGGATTTCTATGCATTTTCCTAAGATCAGACAGAAAGAAACACAAAGAACTTGAAGCAGAAGGAAAGAAATGCTTAAAAGTCTTAGTCTGGGAAAGAAAACTGAAGATCAATGAAGCTTTAAAAGAAGCCATTATATGGGCAAACCAGACTTTGTGGGACCATTAGAATCCTCAAATTTGGCATCTGCTGAAAGCAGACAAATAGTGATAACTATTGTTGAACAAAAAGCATCGACTATGTACGGTATAAGAACAGCAATATATTCTTCCCTGTGTGTTTGTAGACCTTAAACAAAATTCAAATATGTCTAGTGTTGGTATATATCAACTTGGGGGCTCCCAAGTACATTCAAACAGATTGCAGAAAAAAAAGGAAATTAAATTAGAGAGAGAAAGAGGAAAACCCAGGTAACCAAAAGAAGACATTATCCAAGCTCTTACTTCTTGCCTACATGTTTATGAACCAAGTGTTGAAAGTAAATTTTTTTAATCATTCTCTAAAACCTGTTGTCTTCTAGACCTAACAACTCTATCCACACATGCCGGTCTAACTTTCTTCTCCTTCCTCTCCCCCCACCCCACATACACTTTTTTGGCCTCTTTCATCACGGTCTGTAGGCTCATGAAGAGGAGTGGAGAGCCTAGGGAACCTAGGAATCCTGAGGATTCCTGAGTACAGGATTATGGGAATTGCTACAGGCTGTCAGGGCTGGGTCTACCTATGTATCTTTCTAGTCAAAGAAATCAACATGACCTGCTACCAATGCAAGACATAAAGACAATAAAAGATGGAAGAAAAACATAATTTTTCATCCGTTTGTGGTCTTAGAGTAGAATTTCCAAGGATTTCTATGCTTTACTTAACAACTTATTTTTAGGTTCAATGGAAAGTGCTTCAACATGTTTGCCTTTATTCATCAACATGCAGACTATTTTAGAAGTATTCTCTTGTCTTTCCAAGTCTTTCTAATCAGCACATTGCTGATTATCATCATGTCAGTGCTAAAAAGTGAAAAATACTGGGTGCCAGTGGCTTACACCTGTATTCCTAGCTACTCAGGTGGTTGAGCTCTGAAAAGTGTGGTTCAAAGCCAGCAGGAAGGTCTGTGAGACTCAACTCCAACTAATCACCAAAAACCCAGAAGTGGAGCTGTGGCTCAACTGATAGAACACTCTCCTTAAGCAAAAAAGCTCAGGTTAGCACCCCAGGCCCTAAGTTCAAACCCAAGGACTGTCATAGAAGAAGTAAATAAAGTGAAAATTGTGTCTTATGTTTTTAATATCTGTACATAGTATGCATCTGAGTACACTGTTCCATGTGTGATTTCAAAATGAATGGATGATTTAAATGTTTTTCATTGAAGATATAATTTAGGAAAATTCTCCTTATATTTTATCCTTGTTCTAAATTAAACAGCCAAGAAACAAAAGTATTCTTAAGAATCCCATGAAAGCTTGGTTTTAATTTCCTTTTTACAGTACTGGTATTTAACTCAGGATCCTGTCATTCTAGGAAGGCACTGTACCCCTTGTTCCTTTTTTGCCTTGGTTATTTTTGAGATAGGCTTTTGTGTTTATGCCCAGGGAAATCTAGACTATGATCCTCCTGTTTACACTTCCTGCATAACTGAGATGACAACAATACCACTTCATCTATCATTTTTGGTTGAGATGGAATTTTGAGTAATGTTGCCCTCCCTAGTCTCTGTTTCCCAAGTAGACAGTAACACAGGTGTGAACCACTGTGCCTGGCCTAAATTTTAATTTCTAAAGACCAGTATATTCTCTTTCTGAGCACATTCAGTTAATAACTAACCTCCAAAGCTAAAGTAATTTGAGAATGTAGTCAATAAATCCAAAGCTACAATGAAATAATAAAACTAAAAATACCTTCTCAGAATGAAATACAAATATTCTCTGCCCAAAACTTCTGTGAGATTTATTAAATTTTATCTGGAGCAGCATCAGCAAATCTTGAAGCCAAACTTAATTGTGATTCACAGGCAACATATCAGAGGCCCCACACTCTGCAAGCTATTGAAAAGCTTTCTTTAAGATGGAATTGTTTCATGGCTCTGTAAAACCCCAGTTACAGGCCTGAAATGGAGTGCTGAAACGAAACACATTTTCAAAGCTATACAACTCACATCTTTTCACCAGTAATGCATATTACACACAGAGAAACCAAATAGCCTAATAAAGACAACCCAGACCTTATTGGTTGAAGAATTACATATGTTTCTTTTTTGTTCTAAGTAATTTTACCACCGAATAAAAATTATTTTTTCAACCTGCTTCAAGTCTTCAAGTTGGAAACTTCCTTCAAGATTTGGGATTATAGGTCAGTGGTAGAATGCTTGCCTAATATGAACAAGACACCGGATTCAATCTCCAGCACTGTGAGTGAGCGAGCAAGAGAGAGAGAGAGAGAGAGACAGAGACAGAGAGACAGAGAGACAGAGAGAGACACAGACAGACACAGAGACACAGAGAGAGGGGGGAGGGAGAGAGAGGGAGATAGAGGGAGAGAGGGAGGAAGGGAGGGCGGGAGGGAGGGAGAGAAAGACAAAGGTAATTTTATTAGTCCATTGAACACATACTTTGTTTTACTTTCCTCAAGAAATAATAGCTTTGTCTTTTGTATTTGAGATCTGTGACTCCTTAGTTTCTTTCTCTTCCAAAAGTATCTATGTCTAGCTGGCAGCCAATGGCTCACGCCTGTAATAGGATCGCAGTTTGATGCCAGCCAAAGAAGTAAAGTCCATGAGACCCTTATCTCCAATGATAGAATGCTAGCCTTGAGGAAAAAGCTCAGGTACAGGACCCAGCCACATGGCTGGAAAAAAAAATCTATGTCTAAGTGAAACAAAAGTGATGTTTGCAGTTCTGAGTCAGAGCTCAAGACCTCACAGTTGCCAGACATGCCCTCTATCACTTGAGCTACTGTTACTCCATCCCCTTATTTACTGTAGTTATTTTTAGATAGATTCTTGTATTTTTACCTGAGGCCAGCTTACACCATCATCCTCGAAAGTATGTTCTCTCTATAGTTGATATCACAAACATATGCCACTACACTCAGCTTATTGATTGAGATGGGAGTCTCATTACCTTTTTACCTGATCTGGCCTCAAACCACAATCCCCTTGATCACTGCCTCTCAAGTTGCTGAGATTGCAGGCATGCTTCACCAAGCCCAGTGCTCTTTGTTCATTCTTGAACATAATTGTGGAATTTTTAACTATGTTCTAATAACCCACAAAAGTTATTTTCACTAGATAATAACACTTCAACAGTCTACCCACTAGAGCACAAAAGGAAAGCTTTTACTCTTTGAAATTAACTAGACACTGTTAATAATGAAATATAAAAGACCAAGCTAATGAGAAAACCAGACTTTCTCTGTCCACTGACATCATAATATAGAAACTGCTATTGTTTTGGAGATAAACATCATTGCACCGTTGAAACTCAAGTGATTGGGAATGACTTGTAATTACTGCAAGTTCTTTT